GCGGCGCGGCACGGCGCGGGGGGACGCGGTGCTGAAGGCGCCCGGGGGGACAGAGGGGATGGAGAGAGCGCCTGGGCTTTCCTCCGAAAGCACTGCATCCCTGCGGCCGGGTTCTCTGCTAGCGGGTACAAACGGGTGACATAGCGCTGAGGTCCCGCTCCCGGCCGCACAGGGCTCTGGAGGAAACACTAGGAATCAAAGCTGGCTATGGGGTAAAGAAAAGGTATAATTATAACTTGAAATCACTTGTTTGGGTGGAAGCTGTACTCTGGCAGCGTGTAGCACTCTGATCCTAGCAGACTGGTAATTATAGAAGAGTCAAAGCTACTTTGATGCTTCAATGAAGAGAGTAAATGTATATTACAGGCAATTTAAATCTTAAAATCTCAGGCTTTGTTCAAGTCAACTTTCTTACACAGATTTTATGACAAGAAATATGAAGTATTTTTGAAACTTGTGGAACATCAGAGAGAGTATCGCTCTATCATGAAAAGCTTCTAATCCAGATCACGTAGTGTGGGAACAATATGGGTGACATTTTTCCAGGTACTTTTGGCAGAGGTAATTTCTTCTTACTGTGTTGTTGTTCACTGTAAAGATATACTTTTATCATTAAAAATGTACATTTTCCTTTCTAATTAAAAATAAAATGCATTCATTTCAGTGTGAGGCACTGGGTATTTTGTCTGTGTTCCACGCACGCCAGGGACAATGGATAATCATTTACCCCAGTGAGAGAAAACAAAACAAAACCAGCTGCTGGTACCCCAGTGCCAGTATTCAGAGCGTGGCCACAAGCAGGAACAGCGTAAGAAGCAATTTAACTGATGTAAGGCGGTCCACCAAGGGAGGTGGGCTTGAATCGCTAACCCGTGCCATGCTTTTCACAGATAGCCATCGGCTGCACTGCAGATGGGCCTTTAAATTCTAGCATTGGTACAGCTAAGACCGAGACGTGATTTCCATTATAAACTATTATTGCTTTTCTTTACTACAATTATAGTATTTCTTTGGTGGGTGATATTTGGGAATCACTTTTACAACTGAGAAATGTTTGTTTCTCTGTTTTTTTCTGTTTCCTACCTCTTTTTTTCCGTCTCCATTCTTGCAGAGTAGTCATTTTTACATCAAAACTTTGAGCCATTTTGGCTTTTGCAAGTAACTAGCTCTCAGTGCACGTTAATCACAGTGTAGATGTGAAACAGCCCACTGTTGATATTGAAGGAGTAAGGCGAACAGGCACGGCTGCTGAAAATACGCTCATAGTGCAGGTGCATTCCTCCCGTCCTGCCAGCTGCCTCCCGGGGAGTCAGTGCTCAAACAGTCCAGCTCTCTGTGTCCGTTCCCACTTTGCTTCAGACAGACCCAGCTCAAAACACGTGCATCTGTGTAGCACGCCAGCTCCAGAGCTAAACTGAGTGACAATAGAGAACGCAGTGGGACAGAAAGCAGGTTTTCCTTCCTTAGCCTTGCAGTTGTCCGCACCGAAACCTTCCCGTGATCCACGTCAGAGCTGACCCCTGGCAGCTTGCTGGCCAGATTGAGTCAAGCAAAGGCTTTTATTTGTTCTCAGATGATTTTGAAGGCTGCCCTGGACAGTTAATCCTACAAGATGCTGTCAGGGTCACACCTCGCGATCATGGCGTGACTGGCCTATGGAAGTAGAGAAGCTGGACACTCTGGTTGTATATAGGACAAATGTTTCGCCTCAGAGAAGTTGTTTTGATCTTGCAAGATCTGAATCCTGCCAGTGCCTTCAGTGAGATTCTCTCACAAATTTTCCCTGCCATTTATCTATTACTTAGTAATGAAAAAAAAATTCTCTTTAAAAAGCAAAAACAAGGGCCCTAACTGAGGGAGGGGATGAAGAAACAAGAGACAGCAGAACAGAAAAGTGCATGCAAATCAACTGTAACTCTGCCATAGGTCACTAATGAGACCCCTTGATTTCTTAAATTACAATCTGCCACCCTCTTGGTGAGCCTTTATTATGCAAGAGAAACAACCTACAGTCCATTTACATGGAGTTAGTATTCTTATAAATGGACTCCATCTTTATACACTTAACTTGATAGAAATTCCAGTCTTCAGTAATGGCATAGGCTGTAATTCCCAGTTAAATGCAAACAGAAGTTACACAATAACAAAATTATACTTGGAGAACTTGGAAAAAAATAGTTTCTGGTTTTCTTCATGCTAACAGTCAGCACTCAAAAACATCTGGTGATTTTTTAAAGAACAATGCACTTCCTGCCTGGTAGTTCATGGAAAAGCAATTGTTACCATTTCCAAAGTACCCATTGTTAAGAGAAACAGCTTTACAAGTTCAGGGACATAATTATAGGACAATGACAGTTGATGGGAATAAAATGAAGAAACATCATAACAAAAAGAGTGTAACAAGCAATAAAACTTGAGCCACATAATGGTATATCATAGCATACAATTCAAAAGTACAATAAAAAATGTCAGTTGAAAATACACAGAAAGAAAAAAACAGTTGAAGACCAGTGTATTGTGAACAATAAATATTGATATATTTTAATATATCTATCTTGTATCTATATACAACTAATACGAAAAGTGAAGTCCATTAACTGCAAACACATAGCAAATGTACAGATTATACAGGGAAAGAAATATAGGATTGTCTGGTACTGTACCAGTATTTTTAACTCTTTGCAGATCCACACACATACCAACTTTAGCAAACTTTCCATAAACTTCCTGCTATTTATATCATCATCATAAATTTGGCTTTGATCTCTCTGGCTGACCTGGTACCAAGCCTTAACAAGGAAGTCACAAGGAGTGTACAAAGTCTGCAAAGGAAACAAACAGTCATGTTGACTTTGTTAAAACTTAGATGCACAGAGTTCAAGGAAGTTGTGTACCTTGCATAGGCCTTTGTGAAAGTGTTACACAGGGATTTGCTCACATTTCTTGCATGATCTTTTTAATGCTGTTCTCTCCTTGGAATACTTCTACTTTATAATTACATTTTTGTTTCAAGCCAGTGTTGCTAACAATTTCATATTGTCCATTTTGGAATCTGACCTGTACTTATTACAGGGCTGTAAGAATCTATATTGCAATGGATGCGTAATTAGCTGCGATAGCACAAAGCACCAATACAAGATTTTGCAGAGGTAATAGCTAACATTCCTTGTGTCATACAAGACTTACTTAGCAAATTCTTCAGTTTGCTAACTTCTCAAATGAAAATTTTATTCAAATTGAGCCAAGATGTAAAAAATTAAAGTTAAAGAGTTCTAAAAATCTTCTACTGCAACTTGATTGACTCTGTAATTTTAGGTTGTAGGCCTTCTTCATAGCTTTACACATGTTTAATTCAGGTATTGTATATGAAGATAAGTTGTAGAGAAGTCCAGCGTGAAAGCGTCTAGAAAATATACAGCTGCATATAAAACTAGCCTTCTCAGCATTTGCACACTGAATCACTTGGCCATGCCTAGTATCTCAGAGTCCTGCTTCAGCCTTTGTCTGCAGCAGAATGACAAATCTATCATACGCTGCCCCGAATCAAGGTGAAGCCTGTCATCATTTGACGAAGGAATGAAAGTTAGAGTCAGTCAGGGTTCTGACAGCGTGCTCTGAGATGCAGACCTTGCCATATCTACCCTGTCTGATATAATTTGCTGACAAATGTTTATCATGCATATTAAAAGAAGGAAAACTACCACCATGTCATCAGCTGCTCCAAGTATTCTACAGAGAAGCCCAGGCATCGTGTCAAATGGAGAAGATGCGCATATGATTGCTCCAAAGGAGCATACAGCAACTCTTAGGAAAAAAATCCATACGAGACCATCCCAGGTAAAGATTCCTCGCAACGCAACAGTCAGGAATAACGGCATGTCATAAAGGTAATCTGCAAACTAAATATTCAGATGAGTTATGCTATGTTACCTTCTAATTTATGTTGAACAAGCCTCTAAGCACTGTTAGATTCAAATCTATTGAATGTAAAAGCTTTCTGTGCTGTGCAAGTCCACCTACGCAATTTAATTATTTTCTGGGATCTAGCAGCACACATTCTAGCAGGAATCTCCATTCCCCCAGTACTTTGAAAAGAAAGTATTATGCATGTTGTTGAATCCTTTTGGAAAATGGGCCTTAATTGTTGCTTGAGTGTATACCTCTCTTTAAAATCTGGCATCAAGCGTAGGTTATGAATGCTTAAAAATGAGGCCTTAAGCCTTGGCTTAGTGTGGACAGGAACCATAGGAGTGAGTGATTATTCCTCTCCATTAATGCTAGTTTGTTGGGTTGAAAAATAACATTCTCCTCCACAGCGCCTAGTGTATTTAGTCCATAGATGAAAGCAAGCTCCACAGTCCTTTTCAGGCTCCCTGCTGGGATGTGACAGGAAAGGAAGATTTGCTTTGGTGATATTCTACTTGCTGTCAAGAATGGGCCTCACTTGTGCCTTCAGCCCTCATCTTTCACATCACTTGCACTGCCTGTCATGTCTCTGTACCAGCTGGGATTCTAGCTGTAATAAAATACAGAGCCAGCTCAAATTTGGCAATACCTAACGAAGAAAACAGCTGCTTTGTATGCTGGAATATGAATTGGAACAAGAATTTTAGAGGCAAGTTAAAATCCTAGAGTTCAAATCTGAACTCAGATTTGAAAGTTCCAGGCTGACCATCTCTATTTCTGCTTTGCCTCCTATGTTTCATCTCACACTACTTTTTCCTCCCTTCCAGGATGGCTGTAGAATGACTGCCTTGTGCTAGCAACTCTGAGAAGCACCTTTACTAGAAGATGCTGAATGCAGTAGTGAGTGGTAAGACTTCCCTATGATACCACAAATAAGTTCATAAAGAGATAATTCACATACTTATGCAAATTCGTTTTCATTGCTGGGTCTCTTTCAATCCACTATGTGTTATGCAGTATTAACTAGGTAAATGTGGAATTATAAACACTTACAGGTCGAGGTTGCCCTGAGAAACGCTTGTTGTAATCTCTAATGTCATTTACAATTTGCTTAGTTGGTTTATCTTGTTGATTTTCACAAGTGATGTTATCCAGAAGAACCACCTTCATTAAGAGAAGAAGATAAACATTAGCACTGTATAATTTAACCTTCAGTATTAAGGATACTCTTCTGTAGTACATGTCTCTCCATATGTTCCCTCTCAAGCTGATCTTTGTCCCGTGTCAGTGGTTTCACTATAGCAAGAATATTTACCAAATGCAGACTCGTTAACCTGCATGCAATCTTCCAATACATCAGGCAGCCTTTGGCATGGGTCAGATGGGATTAAGAAGTCCTGTATTGTTTTTAATGGAGTATTATGCTGGAGATTCAATGAACTATACAAAAGTAAAATGATGGAGGCCTGTTTAATATTTCACAGAGTTGCCTGGTATGATATATGTCAAATGATAAATGCGAAAGGTTTCAGTGTCATTCAAGTCTGAGTAGGTTTTGAAATGCTATGGAAAATCAGAGGAGAGAAAAAGTTGATCCTAAGTGTTCAAGCTTGTCATTTTGTAGTTATCATAATGCAGATGACTACAAGGGAGATAACTCTTACCTTCTGCCTGCAGAGAGGGCAGGTTATTGCTCCTAACCAAGGACTATGTTTCCAGTATGTAATTAGACAGGAACCTGCAAAAAATTAAATGATCAAATCAAGATATACAGAGTACATTAAAGGATATTTAATGTGTATAAGGTAGTTACCAGAATTAATAAACCCTCTTTCTACAACTGACTGTAAAATTTGTTTTAATTCTTTGCTTTCATTTTAATATGTGGTTTTACTCCACAAAGTGACTGTAAAAATAGCGCCTTAGATCTTCTATACCGATATATACAGAGATACATAAGACTCCCTCAGGGAGACTTTGATATTTTTATTCCTGTTGATAGCATCTTACCCTTGAAGCTCCCTTGACTGTGGCTGAAGCACTCAAGAATACGGGTACCCTTCCAATTTATGTGTACTTAGCATGGTGCAATGCAGAGTGCTGTGCTGGCTGCTGTGGACGAAAGTAGTTTAGCTGCATAAACGTGGAGCTCCACCAGAGCGAATACCTCCTTTAGGGTCCTGAGGGTTAATTATCCCAAATAAACCAACATGCACAGCCAAGGGACAGCCTGCTCATTTAAAGACCTGCCTGGTACAATACATATCATAGTGATGAAGTATCATATATTGTCTTTGCTTTATTATTATTATTTTTTTTTTTTTACTGTATTTCCACTCTGTTACCCGTTTGGAACTGAACAGCCTGGGAAGAGCAAGTTGCGGCATTCTTTTTCATTTTTAACAAGATAACTGATAGCTACCTTCCAAGTGCAATGTCATCTTTTCTTATACTTAGGTCTCCGGTATACAAGAGGGCAGAGGACACTAAGACCAGATCGCACATATTACTGACAGCAGTGGTTGACATACACGAATGTCAGTGCTGGCATTTACAGCAAATACAGCAAAGCATAAATAGCATCTAATCAGAAGCAGCACAGCTTGACTTTCAGCTCCCGGGCTCAATGTGCAGTGTGACAGGTCAAGAAAAAAAATGTCTTAACATGTAAACTGATCAAATTTGACAAAGGACCTCAGTGAAAACAGAAGCAGAACAGTGGACTGCCATTTTGATGGAGTTATTTTATGGAACTGAACTATGCTCTTTGTTCTTAAAAATAACCAGGGCCAGCAAGTCCACTCTTGTTAGCAGTACCAAAGCAAGAAGTCTTCAGGAGCCGTCAGTGCAGGGTTTTTCTGCACCCAGACAGTCTTTGTCCATTGTCACTGAAAAGTGGATATTAGAGAAACAATGTGTTCAAATCAAGTATATGAATGGTAATGATGTTATCAATTATGTCCTCTAAAATAGGGATGTTAAATTTGGCCTAAAGATATTTTTATGAGGCTCGCCCTAATTGTTAGTACAATGCTTTTTACTTTTGTTTTCAGTTAAGGGAAGGGTTTTTCTTTATGACTCTTCTATTCTGTTTGCATATACAGAACAGTTGGTTGGGCATATGACTGTGTTTATGTCTAAATCCCCATGTGGTATGTATAAACTCAGTCTGGCAGCCAGCTTCAAGCTTTTGCTTGAACTTTGGCGTTTGACAAACATCATGCCTGACTTCAGGAACTGCTCTGACTATCTAGGTCCAGATCCTGTATCATGATTAATGGGGGTGTATTGTTGTGCCTGTGTGCAGTTCCACTGATGACAATGGGATACTAATGGATCCCTTAGTTCTTCAAGGGCTTTATAAAAGTATCCAGTGGAAATTTGCTACAGGCAGAAATCATTTGTTTAGTAGAACAGGAAAAGAAAGACTCCTCTGAAGTTGACCTATTTGTACTTCAGCGCATTTTTCATAAAATAGACAAAATCCTGTTTTAATCTAGCTTGCTACACAGCCTTCTGAGGGAGTCCATAGGTTTCTCTAAAATACCTCTGTGGTTATAGTTAATTAGAAAAAAATAATATTGCTCCAGGATCGCTTTTCACTTGAACTTCCTGAACATATGGTTCAAACTGAAGCTGAAAAGGAAAACTTCAGGACAAACTGTATGAGTTACTACTAATAATAAAATCAGACATTTTTTCTAAGTCTACATTAATCTTCTTTAAAAGCTCTAGGTTGACCACATTTTCTAAATAAAACTTTTACCAAAGTGGAATTTATTAAGAGTATGCAGCATAGCCTTAGCTCTGTTCCAGAGGGCATGCAGGAAAGTTTTATTACTAATTTCAGTCGCAACAGACTTAGATCTATGCAGACTGGTTTTGATAAGCCCAGTGTAAAGTTTTATTGGTTTAAGACATGAAAAACAGACAAGTTACAGAGACTGCTTCTACTGTATAAATACAGTCATGACATGTATAATGCATTGCACTGGAATCTATGCTTCAGAGTGTAAATGATGATGTACTTGGGGAAAGTAAAGCCTAACTAAATCTATATAGCTAATGATAGCAATATACAAAGCTTGTATTTGGTACTTCTCTGCAAATCTCCAGATGTTATAAAAACAAAGCCCATTATGTCTTATTCACAGAAGGAAAACGGAAAATTAAACCGGGCCAGAGAAAGAAGAAAGGTAATGATCTTTGTTGTTATGTCTCTCTTTGTATTTGAAACTATAAGTTCTGTGATATTATTTGAAACATGTTTTGAGGCCTTATGAGCCTTTTTGTTCTGGAGTGAGTTATATTCAAAGCATCCCATCGGCCTATGTGAGCATGTTATAAAACATATATGTGCATAAAAACATGAAACATCCTCAAATATTTATATGATGCCACTCCTGTGGCAGGGGGGCCCTGCAGAGGGCCCCTAGCTGTTGGTGATTCATTGATTTGCCGTGGTTTCACAGGATGGGATAGTGGCAGTGTCGAGTGAGTTGTTCTGGGTGAGCATCATTTCCATCTAGAGAAAAATGGCACTTTCTAAAAAGCAAAAATGTGCTGTTATTGCAACAGCATTAAAAACATAATGCCTTGTACTCATTTATGCTCAGGCCTTTTTAGAATACTCTGACAGGGTGAAAAAAGTCTAAATGGCTTGTGAATATAACTTACACTTGCTTTGAAGTCTCTAAAATCCCAGAACAGTAGAAAGGAGCTTCATGGTTCTGCCCACTGTCTTTTGACGTATCTTCCTGTTGCAGTGTCAGATATTACTGCCTCCAGCTGTCTCCCTGTGCCTCTGCCAGAGATTACTGATCTCATGCTGCACAATAACACTAAGGTACCTTCACAGGCAGTTTCTGCCTCATCAGAACATGAAAACTGGTTCTCTTCTGTCATCCCTTTTGTGGGGACAGCAGCTTTCAGCAAGGGACATGGCAAGCAACTGGGGCAGTGAGGTTGTGAGCTGTATAAGCATTGTACTGTATCTAGAAAACTTACCACAGAATAGATGTCCACAGTTGGTTTCTACTGGGAAAGTAGCTGTTTGGAGACAGATTGGGCAGCTGAAGTCACTGTGATTACAAGGCTGCCAAATTTGGAGAGATTCCTAGAAGAGAAGTAGTACAGAGTCTTTACTAAATTAATATTTTGAGTGACATATTCAGTTTATTAATAATAATGTACTATGCATAGCAGAGATTCACAGAAACTAAGTATGGAGGATACATAACTAATAATTAACTCAGCAGATAATGAAAATCAGGCACAAAGAAATGATCCTACAGAATCCTACAGAAAGAATCGGTGTCAGAGGTAGGACGATGAAGCCAAGTTTATGTTTCTAGTGATATATCCACAGGCCACTGAATAATATTTACGTTCTTGAGGCCAGAAGAGTTTGAACCACAGGCTTGTCTAGTTACCGTTAGGCAGACCGTACCCAAGGTCTGTCTTAATAGTATTTGGATCTTTTTCCTTCCTCCTTATAGTCATGTATATCACTTAAATATACTGAAGTAAAGACTAGTGCATTTTCTGCCTTCTTTGGGATGGCAGGATAGTATTCTTAGTGTGTATCATAGGTTATGTAGCAAAAAGTTCCCTTTACTTCAGTAAGTAACCCTTTCCTTTGCTTAGGAAGGTCTATAATTAAGAGTAATGCTGAGCTGTGTTTTTAGAGTGTGATGATAGGAGTTTTGTCAGTCTCTGAAATCCTAAAGAGGCGTTTTGAAATCCAAAGTGTGTGCACTTGCATTATAATACTTCTGGACTAGTCTGCCTCCAATGGAAAGGCTGAAGGATGTATGTTGTTCTTGTTCATCTACTTTAAGACAGTGTCTTGAAGGTTAGAAATACTAACTGTCCTCCGCTGCCTATGTGTGTTTAGAGAGGCTCAAAAGGAGACCAGGGTCAATTCCAGTTTTATTTTGCACTTTAATCAAAAAAAGGTGAACTCCATATACTCCTTAATGACCACAGAGGACCAGCATTATATGGAATAGGCATTTTTTTTCCGTTACTGAAATAAGGCATTCAGATATGATGGTCTCATACTTTGAGATTATAATATCACTGTATGCTTGCTGTCTCTTGTTGCCCAACAAGAAGGTGAGTGCCAAATTGCTTGTTTGTCTTTCAAATAGTGAATTGGCACCCATCTTCCTGACAGATCAATGAATACACTTCTGTGTATTTGACCTATTTATAGAAGTTCTGATAAAGAGAAAATTGAATAGACTTTACATTTTTGCATGTCAAATATTGATAGATGCAGAATGACTGTGAAGATTCAAGCTCATTTGGCTGCATTCAAAGATTAATTTTTTTATTTAATTATTGTTTCTAATGAATTTTTTTCTAATGCAATGATTCCAAGAAAAAAGAAGGATGTTGTCATGCAGCTCTGCCAAACAAACGACCATGAAACCTGGTATCTCTTGCCACAGCCATGCCTAAAATTTTCCTGAAATGAGGATCTGTAAACAAGAACTGGAGGTTTTAAAACAAAATGTCATAACTACTAGAAACAGTCTTTCTCCTTTTCTGTTCACGAAATTATAAATGTGTGTGGCTCTGATACTCAGTAGAAAAAAGTTTAGATGCTGAAGATGCCTACATATTTTTTCAGTTTTTCCCCTCTATGCGCTGATGATTCTCTTGATTACCTGCTAAGATAGCAGGCATGCAATAGCTCAACAAAGCTGGGATTACTGAATAAGTAAAACATTACAAAGAGCAGATTCAAGTCCAGCACACTGACAGGTGACCTCCTGGCAAACAGCCTTTGCCATAATGTTACTCAAAATACATATGGCACTTCACAACCCTATATTTTGACTTCCCGTGCAGTACAGATGAGATATTTGCAGATTCAGAACGGCATTATTTCAACTGATGTAAACAGTAACCATTTACTTCAGCTGAGGAACTGCCCCAGAATGCACAACCATTGTGCTTGCAAAAACTGCATATGTTACATAAGCTGATCAGGTAGGTATCAGCTCTTTATTTTTGCAGAGTAATAACACACACATTTCTTCAGCTTTGTCTCATACAAAAAAGGGAACCAAATGTGTTTCTAATTATGTAGTAGATATTCAATCAGGGGAAACCCAGCATTCAACCCAGACTGTGACCTCTGGAAATTCTGAAAAGCTCCCTTGCCCTCTGCAATCTCAGCAAGTCTAAACTGCTTGTGTATTTTGTATTAGAATATTTTGTACAATAATTAATTGACCATATGATTCCTAGGGGACAAATGATTATAGCTTTTTTTCTGAATGACTCATCTTCTGTTGACTTACCTGAGCAAATCTGTAGAAACAGAGTTTGTGCTGTTTAGAAAATGGGAAGATTGAATGTTACTGTGCTGCTCCATGATATCAGTTCTGGCTGCTGAGGTTAGCTGCCACAGAAAGGGCTTGGAAACCCGTTAGCTGACTGCAAGTTGCTGTTGTGATGTTGAAAATTTTTAAGCTTTGCTCTCAAAGCATGTGAGTTCAAGTTAGGACTTTGTGACTTAAAGAGCAAATAACTAGGCAATAATGCTGTAATAATGACACCAGATAAAGAATATGTGCATGTGTATGTATGTGTATATGTGTGTGTGTGTGAGTATATATGTATTTTATATATACATATATATGTATACATATATAGGAAGAAAAACTGTTAAATCCATTATGTGAAGCAGCATTCTTCATCTTCTTGTGATACCTCTCTTACTGAATGAAGCAAGGTGGGAGAGCTACCTTCAGCTCTCTGATATTGCCAGACAAGTATGAATGTCTTTCTGTTGTGAATGGCCCAACTTAATCTGCACAGTTAACCTGAATATGATTTCAGTCTCAGCTGCTTACAGATTTCAGCTGCTTTTGCACGAGATGACAGTAAAGACCCATGTAAGAACTAAACCAGCCAGCTGTGACTGCTTCTGTGAAGGCAGGTGAGCTACAGACTCATCCACATGGCAGGTAAGTGCACCTGGGTTTCTTGAAGAAGGGGGCACCACAGAGTTTTCTGCAGAAGTTCCAGCAAAGGTTGTTCCAGAGCTCAGGATATTTCTGCAGGAAAATACAGGGGCAGGTGTTGAGCTTCCTGCAGTGTCCCTCAGGGTCCCTCTGCAAAGTGGTGTAGGTCCAAGACGTTCCTTCTTCCCATCATATGTAAGGTATAAATACTTCTTTTAAAAAGACAAACCTAGACTGACACTAGGTTTACAGTAATAAAGTTAGTTGAAAGTGACTGGAAAAGTGAAAAAGGTTGCTGGTAGTTTAGATAAATAGCTTTTTCATTCTCACATTATACACATTAAATATTTATAATAAAAATACTAAAAAAAAAAGATCTTTATTTGTATACAGAGCTGGAGGCTTAGATTTGGCTTTTGGTAGGCATATTTTGTGTTTTATTCAAATCCTTAGTTTTCACTGTCTCTTGCTTTGGGTAACTGGGTTATCAAACTTAGTATACTTTCGTCTGCCGATGTATCAGAAGAGCTTGCGCACTTCCTGACTCCTGCCTCTCCCTTTGGCCTTCATCAGACTGAGTAAAATTATTCACAGAACAGTCTCTAGAAGGATTGCTATCTCTGGCCACAGCTACCATATTTCTGACGCTGCCATGTTACAGTCGTACAAGGGCCAGACTCTGAAGCCTCTGAATTGCTCAAGATTTATGCTGACATAAAGTGATGATGCAGCTCAAGATTTATGCTGGTACAAAGGACATCAGACTGTAGCTGTGATGATACATTTTTACTCTATCACATAGATGATCGCACTTGGAAGAGAAGGAAAGGCATTCCTAAGAGATTAAGTAGACAAAACTTCCTGTTTGCCCTCCAGGAGGATGAACATGTAGTTCAGTGAGGACAGACACATTTTGTACATCTTTTGCATTAAAATTATGATTTGCAAAGCTGTCTAAGGCCTTAGGATGTTTAATCTCCATTAAAAGTAATGAAACCTGCATAGCTGTGTACTTTGAGTCATTTGAGACACTGCCAGCTCTAAGATTTTCTTAATAGCTAATCAGTTAGTACAAATTGCTTTTATTGGTAACGTTCATACTCCTGTCAATGCTACGCATGATGAATTATTTATACAAGTCGGGCGATGTTAGAAAAATCTGAAAAGTACTGAAAAAACATAAAATATTTGAAAAAGAATGTATTTACTATGTAGTTAAAAAACACCTTTTCTATAATTTTTTTTTTGTCTAGACATATTTCAGATAATGTCACAGCAGTTTATAAACTAAGTAAGTTTGCTGAAGAGGCAGTATTCTCTTTTCTTCAGTATTCCAGCTAAGAAAATAAAATAGCTTTCATATTATAAAGACATTAAATGAAAGAGAGAGGATTTCAGTTTAATCTCTGTGGAGCTGCTCATTACCTGCCTGCTTTTGTTAGGTGTTACTTGCCTGCTTGAGGAGGGAGAGGTCTAGGTAACTTCTTGAGGACCCTCCCAGCAACCTTCTGTGGCCTTGTTAGCTCCTGCTTGTGCAAAATTTAACAGGATCTGGACCACTGCTATAACTGCTTCTCTTAACTAAATATTGATGATGTCCACGTGAACTAGTCAGTTTGTAAGGTGCTTTCATGATGTGTATTAGAAGTTCATGGAGTATCGTAAAAACAGAGTTATTTTACACTCTATGTGGGTTCTGCACCTGGAATATTCATTTAAGTTTGCCTATTTTTCCAGGTGAAACAGAGGTGGTTCAAGAGAAAATTACCCTTCTGTCTCAAGAATAATGCAGTAGGCCAGGAAGGGCTTAGAAAGGTGTGACAAGGACAGTCAAAGGTACAAGCAGCTTCTGTACAAGGAATCACTAAGTAAACTAGGATTCTTCAGGTGGAAAAGAAATGACAGAAATGGTAGAGGTCTGTAAAAGGTAGTGGAGAGGAATAAAAAGGCTATCTAGGATCCGTTGTTTGCTGTCTCCTCAGAGTGACAGATTTAGATAGGAAAAAAAGGGCAGTTCTTTACATATCTACTTAAGCAGTGGATGTTTTTGTTACGGATGCTAGAAATTGCTATGAATTCAACATATACTGGACATCAAGTACCATTAAAGGCAAAGGTAGCACCTCTGACTGAGGAAGTTCGTGAACCATAAAAAGCTAGAGGATGGGAGAGTCTTCTGGGGAAGCATCACATAATTGCCTCTTTCTGTATTCTTTAGGCATCCATTGCTGCAGAGAGGACTCGATGGTCCTGGTTTGACCTGGTACAGCCATTCTTACATGAATAGAGCAGTTTGGGGGAAAAGAGATTCGTAGTCACCTTCATCAAAGATAACAGTAGCTTAGTCTTGTCCTGCATAGGTAGGCTAGGAAAAGCATGCCAAGTCTTGTATTTATTTTATTAGGTTATGTGCATATAATCAAATTGCTGATTTATTTAGTCTAAACACTATAAATGGTGTTCAGGTTAGCTTTATGTTGGTTATAAGGGGACAGAGAAGCTGGATCTGATAGAGTAGACAGATGATATTGGACATAGCTTAAAGTCTGCCAGAATACATGCACCCTTCCAAAATCTTGAGCCAGCAATTGAACATTTGAACTACCGAATGACTTAAAGATTGAAGTAGCAATTATGGCAGTTAGTATTTTGTGTCATGTGACTGTGAGTTTTTGATGGTGGTAAGTACTCTTAACAAAATAAAACATTTTGTGTGATCTCTGCCTAAAATTCTTAAGAGATTTTTGGGGAGGTTCCTCTAATGCATGCTCTAACGCATGTTCTACATGTAATATAAAACAGCACAATTTAAATTTCATTCCTTTAATAGTCTAGGCTGGAAACTTTTGAGAGTGCCCATAAAAGTTACTGTTTCGTAGCATTGTATTAGAATCTTGGTGCCTATCTCACCTTTGCAAATCCCAGGCCTGAAAACTGCCCCTGTAAAGCAGCTTTCACAAATAAAAAGGAGGTTACGAGAGTAGTTTTCTACATAGCATACTGAAAGTATGCTCCTCTGCCATAGACATCTCTTCTATGGGAGAACTGGAGAAAATCTGACAATGTTATCTGAGGGGATCCAGAATCCTCTCTAGAGAGCAAGTGCATACATGTATTCTTTGAAAACACTGAGCAGTTCTCATCATTTTTAAGGAGTAGCAGTGGTCACCTCTTAAACTGTTTTCAGCGGTGAAAGCCTTCACCCACATAGGAAATGTTGGTGCAATGCTTTCATTCACCAAAGAGACTCAACCCACATGTCCGGTGAGAAAATCTAATCACACCAGTGGACATCTTCATCAGTTTTCACCAGATCATGCCCCTAAATTAGATGACTGACATAAAGGGATTCCATAAGTGCTGAGAGAACATGAAACACCCACTTTGAACGAACTGGCAAGAAGATGGTAAGTTGAAGGTATTGTGATGTGCATGCTCATAACTGACACAAACGGCTTTGGAGACTTGCATTGAGTATATAGGCTGTAATGGTTGATGATATACAGTGCTTCATGTTAAATTTTACACTTGCAGGGTGGTGAAGGCCTGAGAAGTTTGGATGTTTCTTTTAAAATACAGTTTTATTCTTCTAAAATCAAGTCCATATATTTATATTCTTTTCTCAATGAGCATCCCAGCAGTTATCTGCTTTTGGGGTCAGATTCTCAAAAGAACTCTCATTAGGAGCCAGGTTTTGAAGTTGCTCAAACTGCACCCAGAAGTTCCCAGTGTGACAGTTAAGATTTTTTGAGACACTTGAGATCTTTTAAAATCTGGACACTTATTTCAGCTTAAAATGAAAGCTCAGCATTTTGGAAAATAAATCTAGTAGAACTCTGCCAAATCAAGCCATTAGATTTGCTGCATTTTTAATATTTGTATGCAAAAGAAAGGCATGATGATGGTGATTAGGTCATTGATAATGGAGCCAGAAGCTCCTGGGTGTAAACCTTTATCTCTGAGACAATGCTCAGTTCACTACATCTTCCAGTTTTACCACATGGAAAATTTTTTTAAGCATTCAGTGATGAGTCCATTCTCATCAGTATGTTTGAAGAGAAGGAATTAAAGTTTAAAAAATACTTAGCAAATGAAAGAGCTAACAGCCATTTATTCACTTTTTTCCATGAACACCTGCCATTCTGTAGCAATAAAAAAGTTTAAACTTTGAAGTTTAAACTTGTTAGGAAGGCTTGATTCCGTGTTACCTCTTCATCCGATTCCTGTGATAGGTGAAAGCTGCTCTGTTTCTCCGTTACAGGGCAATTAAGATGAGCAAGGATACACTGGACAACTAAGTATTTGACAATACACATTAAACCTAATCACAAGCAGACTGTAAGTATATATTTTGAAGGGAAGAACTGTGCAAATTTTCTAAAAGTAATTCTAATGATTAAATACTTCTAATGAATTTAATGAAATATTCTAATGAATTCTAATGAAATAAATACTTCAATTATTTATTCATAATCATTCTAATAAGCACTTCCTACCTTGGTTCAGAAGACCTACATAAAGTTTGGCTTACCATTCCTCTTTGCAGAATTGTGTGAGAGGAGCCGAGTAAGTTACACTAGCTGTCAGTGTTACGGTGTGGAATCATTCATTAAGGCAGGCTATGAGGGTTTGTCAATTATTAACTTAGTTGCCCAGTGTCAAGGTTCTGTTAGGTTTTCTAAATTAAGGTTATGAAAGAAACCTTTTCTTCAAACAAAGCAAGTCTATTAAAAGAACAGAGGTCTCCTGAGGAAAAAAACAATACTCTTCTCTTTCCAAAGAACCTAAATAGATCTCCTCTCTCAAAAAGATGTTTAACATAATTGAAAAGATACTTACATCTAATAAAAATATCACATTACTATTATCAAATATTAACTTGATCAAGGACAAGCTACAGGTATTTTGATCTCCTGATATAATAGCAGCCTATCAATTGTGTAGATAAGCGATTAACTGAAGTACTGTTGTGAAACAGGCATAAAACGTGCCAGACACTTTTGCTACCAGGGCATTGCATAACTGTAGAATTAGATTGAGTAACATACAACATTGTCCAATTAATCACATGAGGTGTAGAATTCAAGCAGAAGATCTAATGGGCCAAAATGGATGAGCATATATACTTCCTGAAGTATTTATTCTTTGTCATGATATATGTTCCTTAAGAAAAGCTTGATTTCTGTAAAGATGTTTTCCAATTTAATACAGCAAAATTAATAAGGAAACCTGATAAAAGGCTTGTTTTTTTGCGGTGTTGACCATCCTGATCTTGATTCAGCAAAGCACTGAAGCACACACCTAATCTTCAGCCCTCAAATAAACACATGAACTCTTAGGGAGGAGTGAGGAGGAATCAGTAATATTAGA